GAAATTTTCCGGGCAGGGAGATCCCCGTATCGTGGACGAGTGGATTCAGAACCATAGAAAGGGATTAAGTTTAAGAACTCTAGATTCAATTCTAGATTTATTCAAGTCAAGTTAGCAACTTGTCAGGAGATTTGTAAGCACTTATGCTAAACAAATCTTAATAATCATGTTTCTCAGATATTTCTATTGAAAACTGCCATTTTGCCAATCAAAGTGGCAGACTTCAGGGAGAAATTCCTTGATTCAATTCGAGGAATAGACTCAAATTTCCTAAGTCAGATCAGTAAATCATGTTCAAGGCAAAAATATTCATGTTAAAGGTGGTTATAATTCTCAAGTCATTGTTAAGGTAACAGTTTCCAGTGTATAAGAGTCAATAGTCCGGGTTACCATGGAGGCTTTAAATAATAGCCATTCAGCCGGGTATACCACGGAGGCTTGAAGCTGAAACCGGAGCAGTATAATTTCATGTAATAACAATCTTTCTAGTCAGTCATGTCAGATATTTTATCAGTCATGATATTTCAAGTTATGATTTTCAAAGATCAAGATCAGCTAATTACTTTGTACTTGCGGGACCAGTTGATACTGGAGCAGCCCTATATAGTACAGAGCTATAAATTCATGTTCGCGATTTACAGTTTATGTTCATGATGTAAGGTCGACGTATAATAGTTGTTTAGCCGGGTTAAATGTGGCGGTCTGATATACAGACCATTAGTCCAAATTTACCTGAAAACTTGAAGTCGTACCTTATCAAGTCCAGTAAGTCAGTAAATATCACGTTCTCAATTCCGAAGCGACTATTTTAGTTACCTCAAGATAGCTTTCAGCGTTCAGGCAAAGATGATTCAGTCATGTAAGAGTCAAGTCATGGTTATTCAATTATATGAATGTTCAGGCCAGTCATGTTAAGAAGAAGAATAGTATGTCTAATAAGACAAGACTTATCTATCATTTTCAGTATGACTGTGCCTCGATTCTCAAATTCTGAAGAATCTGAGAAATCGTGGGAGATATTCATTCATGATGGACTTCTTCTTGAGGTTAAGTTAACCTCGGAGGGAGTAAACAGTTGCAGGTACCACAGGTTAAAATACGTCGCGACGAAGAAGGGCCAATCGATAGCAACATATCGTACCATGATAACAAACCGACGTTTCCATTCAAAGATGCCATGCTTGAGTCACAGTACACTGGGAGATTACAGAGAGTTAGTATTAAAGTACATTGAGGTTACTAGCTTGCGGTTTAGATACGATCAGATTACGTCAACGACGCAGGTGCAATGTTCGCCAGGTGTTGTATGCAAGCGTGCCGGACTCATCTGATGAGGAGCAGGTGTGTCGCATTACAATGTGCCACGAATGATGTGCCGCGTTGTCGAGCAGACGTTCATGAAAGGTAATTACCAATACAGCTAGTTATCCTCATTTGTACATATGTGAATCTCTGTAATCTTCCGTGTGTACCAACGACTGGAGTCTTCACAACCAGCGTTCAGACTGAAGATCAGCAAGCAGTCAGGAGGTGTTGACCAGTACGCTCCAGAATTTCATTTTGAGATCATGTCTTATCAGTGGAACACTTTAATTCAGAAAAGTGTTCATTCTCAGTCAGTAGTAACTACCAATTCACTTAATCGTGAATCGAGGTATATTCAGTTCAGATCAAGTTTATTATTCAGTATTAGAGTACTGAATTTTCAAGTCATGTCATCAGTAAGTATAAGCTTTAAGTTAAGCTTGTACATTCCAGTTTTAGTATTTCCGAGGACGGAAATATTTTAAGGGGGGGTGGATAGTAACGCCCCGTATTTTGTTAATAAAGGAAATACTAGCTTTTAGTTTTAAGCTAGCCTTTATTAATAAATAAACATGTTCATGTTCAAGTTCATTACATTCCAAGTCCGACTATTAGTCGATAAATTATTCGGTTTAATTATTTGAGTAACCGAATAAATTTCCAGATTTAATTCCGATTCATTTATTTAATTAATGAGTCCGGAATTAATTATTCAGTCAGCGATATCCCGTCATGTTAATCATGTTTTTAGTTCCGATATATTAATATTATTGAGTATTAATTTTCGGAATTAATTATTTCAGTCAGTTCAGTCGAAATTACCGGAAATTATTTTCGACGTTTCGTTTACGTTCGGAATAATTTTGGTAATTAAGTATTATGCTTAAAAGTTAATTAAGCATAATTAAG